AATTACAAAAAGAAAATATTGCTGTATTATCTTTAACAAATCGACTCGTAAAATTATGTTGCTTTGTCGCTATATTAGATATGTTTCAAGACCAATATATCCTCAAATAAGTTGATGATTATTGCAATAAACTGACTACATATTGTCTATTGATAGTCTATTATATACAATAAATAGACTATCAATTTTCTAGTAATAGTAGATGAACATTATTTCTATCGTGAATATCGAATTTCCATAACGAGAGAAAGAAAATAATACTTCAAGTTAAAATATTTTTATTGTACATTTAGATAAATTAATTAGATAAGTATCTTTTATATACGCTGAAATTTTAATCTTTTAATTAAAAAAAAATTATATAGGATTTAAAACAAATTAAAATATTTTTCGAGATAGTCCGCGATTAATTTTTATTTATTCTTCTGAGATTTAAGACAATTATTCGCAAAATTGTAGGATCTAAAGGCGATAAATCAAAAGATCTTGAAATGAATGAAATTTGAATTATTTTTTTACACGCCCAAATAATAATGTTGGATAATAAAAATAATTTAATTCGCGATTTTGAAATTTTCAATTTTATATTAGCGTTTAAGTAAAAATAAAATTCGCTAAATAACATATATTTTGAATCTTAATAATGGGTTCTTAAATTACATCATCTATTACGTATCTTCTGGAATACAGTTATTATTATCTATACATAACTGATTCATGATTTTCCCGTTTTTCCCGTTTTTCAAAACGTTCCGTGATAAACGTCAATTCTCGCAAACGGATGTTATCTTCCGTTTTTTTATTCCATTTACGATATTTACAGGATGCGACCGAAATCGAGCATGGCTCAATACATCCACAAAACAAGTCATCGGAATATTGCGGTGCCATATGATGGAATATTACGTAAGCTGTTTCATTTCGCGTCACATTGTGCTATAAAAGAACGATTTAATATCGCCGTTTGGGACTTTACCCATTCGAAGTTTAACTTGCATTTTGCTTTTAAACAAGCCGTGTGTGGGTGAACTATACCGGAAGAGGGCTTTGAGTTTTAATATATGGAAGTCTCGACAAGATTCGATCCCATCCCAGTTTTGCGAAACTTTCGACCTATGACACGTCATTTCCAGGTTCGTAGAGACCGTTTATATTGGACTTACCGAACTTCTTTCCATGTGCTTCTCTTTTATATTTGGAGACCTTCTTGAATCATGGTATATATATATATATATATATATATATATATTGTTACGTCGACGCTAAAATATCTCGTGACACGATATAATTCTCTGTGAAACTTTTTATTTCGCCCCTACCTCTTCGTTGTATTTCCTCAGCCGACGATCGACAACGATATAAAGGGAAAAGATGTTTTTATATTATAATGAAGGTTTGACATAAAGGACTATAAATGCTAAAATAAGAATTTCAGAATTTCTTCTTTTTTGAAATGTCTTTATATATTGGGAAAAGAAGTATTTGATATAGTACACACAATAATTAATTTATTAAGACAAAAAAGTAATTATAGCAAAGAGGAAATACACTACAATTATAATTAGACTGACAAAAATAAATCAGAACAAATGATCCTATTTTCGGATATAAAGCGAATCTTAGTGTCTAAATATTTCAGAGTGAATTTATATAGGGTAAATATGGCTCCGGCAAATATGCCTCGCTAGGATTTACGCCACAAAAGTCAGAAAAAAATAGAAGAAGTATAATTGTGGGAGTATAATTTTTCCGCAACTACTCTGTTACATGTCTTTATATAATATTAATTTATTATTGAATTATGATTTCAGCTTCTTATTGTTAATATTAATGAAATTTGTGAGTTGAATCGATTTGTTACTGTAATAAGTAGCGCCATCATAAATTATAATCTACATAAAATGATGATACTAGGGCATGTAAAAGACTTAGTGGTTATTTCATAATACATACGTGTAGTAAATAGTAAAGCATGTAGCAAAATGCAAGTGCTTTGCTTTCGTATTCTTTATTTAGTTTGTTGTCTTGTATATCTTACCTGTTTGGGACATACGGTTTTCAGCGGGCGGAATTTATGCTCAAAGTATGCAAAGTGCGCAAATTGAATTCAATACACTAATTGTAATATACTCATTACACAAAATATGTACCTCATGTTATAACACTTATAATATATGTAATACATATAATATGTAGGAAGATTCTCTTATTATTTATTACTTTATATGCATATTTATCATTTTTATTCCTTAATACATCTTTATAAATGCATTTTATAAGTTATTGTGTCATTTTATGTTTTATTTATATGCATTATTTGTAAATTTTTCATGAGTACATACCCCCTCTCCTTCCCCTATGAGTAGCCACATATTCCACTCTTATGGGATATACGACAAAAATGCAAGAATTTCAAAAAGTTCACTTTTTAATACGAAAAATAAATATTTCGGATTTCTAATATTTTTTTTCATAGTAGTAGACAGTACATTTTTACTGATATAGTTTATTTATTTTAAACATACTAAATAATGTTTAATAAAGTAAATTTTTGATAGGCGCGGCGTATATACCGGAATTACCCTACATAGCCAATTCTGCAAACCGCGCGCGCGAAATTTTTTTCGATCCTGAAACACAATCAAAATTAAAATAATAATATTATATATTAAATATTCACAAAGCAATTTAATAATTTTTTTATGCTAATAAGCATTTTAGAAGGATATTAATAATTTGATATTAATCTAAATATCTTAAGAATTAATAAATTTGTCGTAATTTTCTATAATCTCGAGGTATATTAAAATTAGAAATTCACGTCAGAATTTAGCAAATTTGATTTATAATTTTATATAATGTATTTATATGTGTTATGTATGCATTTCAATTCCCCTAAAACATCTCTCATATTGTAGTCGCATCTCAAATTATAAATAGAATTCTCTCTCTGCCACGATTTGCAAACCTTCTAAAGTGAACTTTATACAAACATAAAATATTTACTCACATGAATAATCAATCGATTTTGTTCTAATCGAAGTTTTCATTTATAATCTGCAAAACCAAATATAAACCAAATTCATATAAACAGATGAGGGATATCTATAGCAATTTTCTTTCGATGCATCTCCTGTTTTGTTTCAATTCTCATCGGCGAGACGGAAGATGAAACGATAACTTTTCATGTAGCGGTCGTTACATAAGTCTACCTATCTACCTGTTTGGGGCAAGTTTAGTTTACCGCCGCATTAGTGCAAAGTGCACAAACATACGACTAAACGTGGGTGGAATTCTCAATTGCGATGTTACTACCAAAAAATTTCTGCACTGTGAAGAAGCACCAGTTTTAGCATTTTGCGAATTTCCAGTGTTTCATTTTATCTTTGCCGTCTCCGTAGCTCGACCAGAGGTAGAAATCGCGCACAAGCATTCGAATGGCTTTCCTCCCTTTCGTGAATCTCGTAAAGCTTTCGGTATTCCTTTCTTTAGTATGTTCGGGCATATGTATGTGCACTATGTTAGCCAGTTGGCATTTGTCGTTCCGACAGAATCTCATAAAATACACATACGAAGGAAACTGGAAGTATCTAGAACTGAAAAGCTACGGAGATGAACGTTTTTATGAAATCAAAACATCTCTCTCGCCAAAAGACACCAAGAGAAAAATCAAGTTTCTTGAACGAACAAGACATCCTGGATTCGAAAAATGAAAATCTCATGCTACATAATGTGAAGAAATTTTATTATGACAAACGAATGATATTAAAAGAGTTTGCTGTCACATCCGAAAAAGTAACAATGGTAATACACCAAAATTACATAAAGAGAGTAACATATGGTGGGGTATGAAAGAATACGTCTGATTATATATAACACATTCAATCATGGATCAATTTTAAGTGATTTGATCACGTCGCGTAAGTCATCGTTGACTTTGTTATAGACATGTTTATTGATATTAAATATTATCGTCCGTTTTATATATTTCCATCTTCGCTGCACAATATTGAATAGAAAAGGTATGAATATAATATCTAATAAACATTTTAAAATTATTCGTAAAATGAATATTTTAAATATTATTAAATATTATCAAGGTATATCTTTGATATAATTATATACATACTATATAAAATGTTATATATATTATATATGTTATATATACATATTATATAATAGAAAAAGCTTATAATAAAAAATTAATAAAATACATAGTTCATAAAAAATAAAAGATTTTATTTTTATAAATATCTTATATGCGCGTTTATAAAAATTTAATAATATTATTGTGTAATATAATAAAATGCTTTTATTAGAAATATCGACTATGTGATATTTTATTCGATACATTGGCTATTCATTTGACGTTGATATAAATACTTTTAAAATTATTCAATATATTCGTATTCGATATCTTTTTTCCATACTCATGATATTTTTATTTGCGTTTATTATATTTGTTAAATAACATGTACTTTATAATAGTTAAAAAAATGTTTTAAATTATTGTAAAGATTTAATATATCAATATTGCATCATATATCATTATTATGTATCCATGTATATGATATTAAAAATTATTTTATAATTATATTTTTTCTTATAGTCAAAATATCAAGTGACCTGAATGGAAAGTTCAGTGCGAATCACTAGTGACACGGAAAGCGTTAATGTTTGCGCTTTCAAACATCCATTTATATACATATTTTCTGGTACATTAGACATGACATGTAAAAAGCTATTTATAAAAAAAATTTTTACTATCGCTATGTGAGGAAAAAGCGGTTTTTAATTTCAGCATTACAACGTGGCCGTTTAGACAATGGAAGAAAATTTGGCAAAGGATAAACTTAGCAAGTACTCAAATTGTTAAAATACTGTCATCAACTCGACAGTGAATGATCGAGTTGCTCTCCTACTGTGGTGACATCTCCATTATGATAGTTGACGTTTACCCCGGATGACATGTCTTTATGTAACGAAATGTATTTGCATACCTTTCTCTCACAGAGTTGCGTCGTCAAAATCCTTTGAGGAACTCGTAGGCTGATCCAACTCCTTTGAGATGTTCGTCGTCTGCTCCAGAATGATCATCTCGCATCCCTCAGGATTCTGCGTTTTCGTATTACTGGGCAATAGGGTCTCTTGCAGGGTGTTATTACCGTTACAAATCTTCTCGCCCCTGCAACTCTTCTTGATTCTCGGAGTGTTACTATTGGAGTTTCTTGAATAACACGGCAGGACCTTTAAAAATTTATATTTTTAATTAATTGTTTAGTACGAGATTTCTCTCTCTCTCTCTCTCTCTCTCTCTCTCTCTCTCTCTCTCTCTCAACATTTAATAAACGGCATGCATTTTCTTGAAATGTACATGATTTATTATTTCCCTTATATAATACTGACTAATTTAATAATGGCCATTTTAATACTGAAAGTAGGTAATTAATTATTGTCTTTTAGTATTTTAACTAGCATTGAATGTTGATTGTAGTATAGATTTCTATACAGATTATATCAAATTGATTAAATATTTAGACTAATTTATACCACTATTCATAATATTATGTTATATAAACAATTTATATACGTTCATATTTATATATTTATATTTATGTTACACATTTATATTAAATCAGCCAGATTATATATTTACAAGTAATTGAAATAATATCTCTAAAAAGTTAGTTTGGTTTTTTGTTATATGAATTTCATTAGCTCAATTATATATAAGAACGATATTTGATTTTATATGGTATCCTTTAGCAACGATATCCCTCAAGATGTAATACATTTAAATTAATTTTACACCTAAATGAAATTATTAATCGATTTCATAATTGCAGTTTATGAGAGCGCCGTAATGGGACAATCGTTAACCACATTTTATTATTGTGAAACTTAAAGTCGGAAATTGATGAAAGGATGTAATCAAGTTATAGAAGATGTGGATAATTAAAAATTAATTCAATACAGATCGAGAAAAATTAATCAAACTTGACGAGCGCGAAAAAAACATTCGTGACTTGACTTTCACACGATACTCAAGTCTCATTAATATCAAAGTATTTTCCATGAGCGGAATTATATTGCAAAATCAAATTTATTACAATTAATTTCTTTTAATTACTTTATAGAAAGGTGAATGTTAATAAACAATAGATCACATTAAGTGATACTATCTTTTCCGTTTTTATAACAAAATAAATATACAAAGAGAAAAATAAATGGAAAGAACAATATAATGAAAATGTAGGGAAAAGAAATAACAGAAACAAGCGTCATGCAAAATCCGACACATATTTTCCGATAGAATATTAGAAAACGAGAAAATATTGCAAAGTATAAAACGTCCTTATCGTGTAAATCTTTTTCTATTTTATGAATTCGCAAATAGCTAAAGAAAAGTCTTTTCGCGACAAAAAAGAGCGCAAAAGTTATTCTTTTACCATAAATTCTTGCCTCGATAAATGCGACTATACTCGAAACCGCCAATACTCGCATCTTTGAATCGATTGAATACCCTTCAACTATTCAATGCAAGTTGTATGGCATTCAATAAGGCATCTGACAAAACACGTTTATGCGTATCTCGTTTATATGCGACTATCTGACTGGTGCACATTAATATCCTAAACATGTTTCATCATTTCACGAATATGTATACTCGAAGGGAAGAAATAGTTCTGCTACAAATTAATTTCGGCGCGATAGAATTCTAGTTTCTCCTCAACGTGCAATTGAGATCATAATACAGATTCTTGCTTCTTCGACATAAACAGTTCTGCCCTAATTACTTAAAGTGCATCTTTGCACGCTCCTTAGAAATTGCATGTAGGTAGTTGTAGATGCATTAAATGTATGGCAATGTAAAATTATATTATTCGTAACTAAAAAAGATATATTATGTAGAATACATTGGAACGAACTTTGTTTTTTTCATAAAAATATTACCTAAATTCCTTACTTAAGTAGAAATTTAAAAAGCTTGAAAATTTTTAAGTAGAAATTTAAATTGCTGAGAGCTTTGCATTTTCGAGAATTCACTTACTTCGAAAACGTCGAGAGATACAATTTTTAACGCATCATTTCTGTAGTTGTACGATTTCGTGAAGATGGATTTTATTAAGTATACAGTGTGAGTCATAAATATGTTTTAAAATTTCGCATGTTTTTGGATAAAAAGAAAAAACAAATAAATATTCTATAAATTTCAAGCGACAAATGTTTTGTTATCGAAATAATGAATACAAATGATGTAAAATAATGATTAAATAAAAGCACAAGAAAACTATTTCTTTCATGTGTAAAAAATCATAACAAATTTATTTTTTTAAAAAAAGGTCAAAAAATGATGCGTGCTTTTCTTAGAAAAAACTGTTACATAAATTATTATGCGCGCTTGTATGTGCAACCAACAGAAATATCCACATGAAACTTTTAAATAAAGTCATTATTTGATTCTGTATTTATGTCCATTATTTCGATAACGAAGATTATGATCTAACGTTTATATTGGATGCATTTGTTCTTCCTTTGCACGAATACGTTCATAAAATTTTTAAATGTTTATAATTCATCCTGTATAAAAGTATTACGTATATGTGCTCTCCGACTGCATTAAAAATGATCTGCTTGCTCGTATATATCTCGCAGATGAATGGAAAGCAGCGAAATAGACGGATTTTTCCGATATAAGCTTCATAAAATCCAGTTTAGCATTGGCCCTTGTGATATGAGATTCATTAATGTTAATGGATAATATCAAATCATGATGCTATTTTATTTAAAAGTTTGAAGTGGATGTTTATTATTTATAGGAGATGCTCGAAGTGTCCTCCATTTTTCATATGAAAGAAAATATCTGATTTGATATTCAATTATTTAAAATTTATTCATATCTAATTTAGCCTTAATCTTCGTAATGTGATACTCAGAGAAATAAAAAGTAGCTCGTTGCATATACACACCTGCTTGAATTCCTTGCGGAAATTGTCGTTGAGCCAGGCGTAGAGAAACGGATTATAACAGGTGCTGCTCATGGCGATGCAGTGCGACATGAAAAAGCAGAGTTTGTAGTAGGACCAGTCGTTGGCATACGAATAGAAATCATCGACGACATTGACAATATTGAGCGGCAACCAGGATACACCGAATATAGCAACCATGGCGATCAGCATCCGATTAGTCCGGCGTTTCCTCTCGCGATCCGCTTCTTCACGCTTGCTGGTCTTGGTGCCGGGTTTGGCACGCGCTCGATCGTTCAGCTTAATCGATACGCATATATAGCAAAAGGAGATTACAAAGAATGGCACGACAAACTGGAGTATCGATGTAAGCGAACTGAAGACCTTGCGAAATGGCTCACTGGGCCAATTCTCCTCGCAGAAGGAGATATACGTCTCCTCTAACTGCATGTAAAGCCCATATGGCAAGGTAAGTAACAATGCGATCACCCAGATACTCACGATGATCGCTAAGCACATCTTAATCTTCATCCGCGGATGGAACGGATAGATAATCACTAGGAACCGATCGACGGCTATGCTTGTCAGCGTGAGCGTACTGATGTACACGCTGACGCCCTGGGAATAGGGCACCAGGTGACAGAGAGTCTTCCCAAAGATCCAACCGCTCAAAAAAGTGTACAGAGGAGTAAAGGGCACGGCCAGTACGCATAGCAGCACGTCGCTGAGCGCGAGATTCGTGATGAAGAGATTGGTGACGGTGTGCATCTGGCGGTTTCGACCGACGACGAAGACTACCAGCACGTTACCGAATATACCCAGCACGAAGATAATGATGTAGAACAAACAGAATATTATTTGCACCGACAAATTCGACGTTATGTCCTCCGACACATAGCTATAGTTGCGCGCTGACGAGTTCTGCATGATGATTAATATTACCGACGACGTTATTTGCGTTATACCATTATTCACGATGCATTTTTGAAGAGTGTTAGATCAGTTATTCATGTTACACGACAACTTCCTCTTCTTCTTTCTCTTTCTTCTCCTTTTTCTCTCTTTTTCTTTGTTACTATTCCGTCGAATCGATCATGCGTCAGTGATACGCTGACGCGAATGAATTCGCTGATGGTCCATCTCTCAGAACGAATGCGAGGCGGAAGAGATCCGGTAATGCAATTCGACAAGATGGGAATTATCCGGAAGAAAATCCAAATGATGTATACTTCGTTGATCACGAGAGAGAAGTGAATTAATTTCTCATGGAGCTCCTCGCTCATTAACGTTAACAGCACTGCTGTTATTCCACGTGGCGGACGTTCAGGCGTCGGAGAGTTCTGATAAGCGAGTTATAGCCTCAGATAAGGAGATTAACTCGAGTTTCGTGCCGCGGTATCCTTGCAGGGCCAACTGTTTGAGGGCATCGATTACACTCGACGCGTATGCAAGCTTTGCAACTCTTGCTCGACTTCTGCCGAGATAATCCTTTAAGCACGATTTAATTTAAGTTTAATTCTCTGACAGTTTAAAGATAGATTAATGAGATGTATCGTGCTTTTATCTCTTATTGAATATTTAATTATTTTTTTATATCACATCAATTATAAAAATCATTTCATCCATCGATTTTTAGTATCCGAAGTTAAAAATATTTTCTTTTTTCCACGATAAGATCATTTTTCAAACAAAATTCACGTTGAAGAAAATAGCCAATTTCGTAAATAAATGATGAATTTAGAGGTAACATCCAATTGCCTTGTTCATTAATTTACAAGGCAGCAATGAATAAATATTTAATTAAAGAGCATAGTAAAGGCAGACAAGCGGGAATGCTACTAAAAAGCCAAAGGACGTTGTATATTTCATTTTACTCCTGAATTATAGTATAATAGCTTTACGCTGCTCTTTTCGACAATTCACAACAGAGAAATACTCAATTGTCTAAAGTCATTTATATTAAAATTTCTTTGACTATTTACAAATACGGTATGTGAATATTATATGCTTGCTGATATATTAATAGAAACGTCGATTGCATATCATTTGTTGGGCGTTCATGTTATACTCGGAGCGAATGGCAGTGACAGTAAGCAATTAATATGTTTCGCGACAAAACTTTCAAACTTTCTGGGAAACGATGGTCGTTTCTCTCGCTGAAACAAGACATTAGAGAGCAATTAGGAGCACCGATTATGACCTGGTCGGTGTGGGCAAAACCGTCAACAAAGTTTGGTGATGTCGTCATCACCGTCATCAAACAAGCGTTTCGGAAAGTTTCGAGCGGTCGACAATACCGGCCACGTCATGCTTCACGAGTCTTGGAAGTGAGGAGAGAGAGACAGAGAGAGAGAGAGAGAGAAAGAGAGAGGCTATTTAAAAAGCTTGACAGAACTCGTAGGTTCTCCTCAAGATTGTTTTGTCATTAAGAATCGGAAATAGGACGCGTATATTCATGACAGCTCTGCGTTTCTCTTTTTTCTTTCTCTTTTTTTCCTTCTTGGATGTTTAATAATATTGTCAAAGAACGATACGACGATTTTACTGATATTTTTTAATGGCTGCCGCGTGCGGATTTGCTTACGCGCGGTTAAGGGATAAATTACACTGAGCGAAAACAATTTTCCACTCGTTAGATACGCGATGCGTATTAATCGAAGATTAATGGAATCGCGTTACGTGCTACATCGTTGACACCGATTTTAGCGACTATGATAGATATTTTAATGAATTCAATATAAACTAATCTCGGTATCGAGAAATTATTACGGGAGGCTTAGAGAATGAGGAACATTTGTTAAAACGTACATTTTAAACATAAATTATCGAGCGATTGATGAGTTAGTGAATCTGTTGTTCAATTTTATTATATCATGTATATCAATAAATAAGAACAAGAAATAATGTTTTAAGTACAAATTTAAATATAGTATACTTAAATCTTAAGTATAATATTACGATATATTGTAATTACGATGTATTTATAATATATCATAATTTTGCATTTCTATATATAATATATTAGTATATACTTTCAGTTTTTTAATCAAATAATTTCTTGTTGATTTATCAAACATTAAAAATTTTTTTATTATTATATTATGTCTCTCTATAATTTAATAATTAGATGGCAAGTTTATTACATGTAATAACTTTTATTTTCATTTTTTTATATAACGTAAAATATAATATATATAATAAAATTTTAATTAATGATAACTAACAACTGACAATTTAATATTTATAATAATCTTGCAAATAATTACGACATTGCTGTAAAAAAGGAGAAATAACTCCAAAAGAGTTATGTGCGAAAAAAGAGTGCTCCGAAAGCACACATTTGAATAAATCTCTTTTTAAAATTCTCTTCTCTCCTCCCAACTTTCACATCTATAGCTTAGAGATTCTAAGAAGATTAAACAAAAAAACAGTAAACAAAGAAAATAAAATGAAAAAGATATCGTGAAAAGTGATGTACCGTGAAAGATCACATACGCTTGTACACGTGCGACATCAATTTCGGCCACCTGTTGAAGAGTCCGCAGAGTTAGAAAATCGCGGCAATTTCTTCTATCATGCGACGGAGACGGTTAATAAAATTTGGTTCACTAAATTTTATCGAGTTGATAAATAAAGTTCTTAGAATCTATGTCACGATACCGCGCGGATTTTTTACGCGGACATGATTACCTACGTAGGAGATTTAGGCCGGTACTACTACTGGGGCTCGCGCATCCTCGGGGGATCCGCGAAGCGAGGAAACGAAGACACGCACGCAGAAAAATATGAAAACCAATCTTACATACACTCACTCACAAACGCGCACTCAGACCTACGCGATTGTTCCTCTCTTGTAATTCGTCGCAGTTCCATTCGCAACACGTTCGTCATTCTTCCCCATATAGCACACTCTCTAAGGGACGTTCTGAAGGACATCCTACGAATGTCCCAACATCCTAAGAACGTTTCCAGAAAGATCTCTAAGATGAAGTGTACTGTATGGATCTTTCACGGTGGAGCGTCTGTTACATGCGAGTACGTTTGAGTATCGTCCAGAATCTAGATTATCCGAGGAAAGCACTTCTCCTCACGAATTTCGTTATCAATCCATTTATCTATTTCTTATCTTCTTTTTTTTGATACGCGTGGAAAATCGCTATAAATCGTGCACGTCATGAGAAGCGTACGTATCTCTATTATGCTCGATCTCCCTCACGAGATGCTCAACGCGTGGTCCAGTTGTACAATGATTTTCGCGACTCATCGAGGGTATCGGGACCACGATCCCGAGACCGATCTCTCGTGCTCGCTTGACTCTCTCATACTAACGCGATCACTACAAAAAGCGTCGCGACGCCCCGACTACGTACACGCGCTGCTTCCCTGTCCGCGACTGAGACGCGAGAAAATCGGCTTTGAGCCTTCAGGGAAACCGAGGGCGGCTTCGCGCGCAGGCGTATGATCGCGTATGATGCACCTATCGCAATGTATCTATCTGTAGGCGAAGATTATATTTATAATGGAGTATTTGATGATGTCGATATTTACCCATGTAGTAAAACCTTCAAAGGACATCCTAAAAATGTTTAGATGACGTCTAAAGGACGGTCCTAGAACGTCCATTAGATAAAGTATTGTGCGGATAATTTTAAATATTGAGCGGAACGTATGTCGCAAAAAGGTGCACATTTTCTTCCCCCTCATTCTAAAAATATCATTGTAAAAATTTAATATCATAGATAATATTAAATATAACTCTTACGCTTTTAGTCAATCAAATTTGGTAATCAAAAATCAACATTTTGATTATCATGATGTCAAAATGATATCGTTTTGACTTTCTTTTAATTTGGTTCCTTGGAATAATGTGAATTTAATATTACGTGGTGTTAAATCTTGATCTATTTTATATCTACATCAAGATTATGAGAATTATATAAATGATGTCAGCATGATGTTAAATCCACATCCATATTTTCTAGAGTCCGCGTAATTTTGGTCCATTTTGCACCTTTCTTACGAGCAAGAAAACGGCATCATTTAAATAGCGTTATCTTTTGAACGCTTCTTTTAGTTTTAAAAAGATTTTTCAAATAACTGATGATATTTTACTATATAAAATAAAACGAATAAATTTATGAATCTATTTATAAATGATTTTTTAGAATATCTTCATTTTATTGAAGTCATTTGTTTTTTCGTTTCGTACAAAGAGGATTATTCTTCTATTTCTATATAACAATTGATTAATAAATTAAAATAAGTTGATCAGCTATTGGATTTTGTATGAATAAATAGAAAGAAAAAAAATTTTATATAAAAACACAAATAACAACCGTGTTTTTAGCTCTAATTTTTCCGATTTTATTGTAATCGAGATTTTATTGTTATCGAGATTATTTTAATTATCGAGAGCTCTATGTAAAATTGTTTTATTGTCATTAATAAATTAAAATGAATTTTAGAATTATAATATAATATAACTGAATAGTCTAGTAGGCTAAACCAGCAAGTGAAGAAACAGACATAGTCTTACAAGAATTTTCGTAAAATTACTCGCTCTTACATTTATTATTATTGTTATTATGTATGACAATAATAATAAATATAAATAAATCTTTTTTTTTGCTTCGCTTGGAATGGAGTACCAAGATGAAAACAAAAACTACAAAATGCAGCTTCATTAACATCTATTAATTCAAGCGAATAGCAAGGTAATGTGTAGAAGCTTAAAGTCTCTTTTTCTCTTCATATTTCCGCTTTCCTGTTACCATTTCGCTGTTTACCATTTGATGACACAAATTGACACAAATGTCGTTCAGTCTTTGTTACATTGAATGTTAAACAAAGACAGAACACTTGTGTCTACATATGTTATTTACTCGTTTCTATAAATATAGTTTAGTTCCCCAAACAACACAAAGTGTTGTCTAAAATTGTGACATAAGACGCCTTTAAATCGTCTTTTACACGCAAAAAAGTCTTGTGACCTGATTTTAAACTTGATTTTTCTTTTTGTTGTTTGGATTTAATTTCGGTTCTAACTAACTCTTTTTTTTTAAGAATTAAAAAAGATGAAAAATAAGTTGTACTAGAAATATTCTAATCTCTAAAAGATCCTTTCAAATGACAATAGCAATTTTAAATTTCCAATCTATTTTATGAAAATTTTATTTTTCTAATTATTTTAAACTAATTTTTTTTAAAGAATCATTTCTTTGTAATTATTTCGAAACGATCATTTTACAAAAAATTTTTAGCAAATTGATTCAAAAAGAACTTAATTAATAAAAATGGACATAAGTTCTAACTCGTAAAATTAGAAAAAGATAAAGAGTAAATTAAACCGAATCTTACTAATATAAAATTAATTTTATATTTGTAGAACTGGGTCTAAATGGAAAGCACTCTCGTTAATTTAGTAAATTATGACCAGTTAAACCAAAAATAAAATATTTATTTCATGTAGAATCTATGTTTTCGTGATTTATCACTATGTTTTCATGATTTATCACGATCTACTTCATGCCACGTGTCGAGAGCTATGTCAAGGTGGCGGCCAAAAATACTTGAGATTCTCGCAAGTCCAAGAGTGTTCTCCAGAATCTAATAAAGTTGAAATGAATATATATTCTTCGTGCAAAGGTCCACTAGTATGAATTCAGTTTCGGGGTGAAGAGAGAACAAAGAAATTTGTGCGGCAAATTTGCGTGGGAAAAGAGAGATTTCCATCTTATTAATTGTGGAACAATTCTTTAACTCGGATATGCTCATTTGGATGAGCGGATTCCTATCGCGAGATATACCAACTATTTCACATTCGTTCTGAGGTGAATGAAATGCGGGATTTTATGCTCACGGTAAAGAAACGTCGATTGGAATGTTGGGAATAAAAAGTCGCCGAGAAAGAAGAGTATAATATCCGTATTTTATATGCACCGCCATCAGATTGATAATCGGGAATCCGTATATTACGTTGCAATGCCGAGCGAGCGTTGGTTGAAAATTCACTGGTCATCCGTTAGAATGCAGCATGCGATAGAGCGATAAAACTGCGCGCTTTATCATAGACATATATTGTTCGACTACTTGAACTTCGATAATTAAATTAGAGATAAAATGTATTTTTTAATGGAATCAGTGATATATGATCTTTTTTTATTCCTCTAAAGAGATAATAGCGCAATTTTTAAGATTAGTAAATAAATATTAAGATTAGTAAATAAATATTGGAAGTAAAATGTCAATAAACGGAGATATAGTTGTACGAGCGTAATTTAAATATTTTAGAACATAAATATAATAATAATAAGAAGCAAATTAAGTTATTGACTTTAATGAATAAATCTAATAAATTTAAAAAAAGATGGTTATTTTTCACTTTCTTAATAAATAATTTATACGCTATCACTCGGTGTTGGCTCTTATTGACATTTTTCTCTAATATAAATATATTAATTACGAAATGTATCAACACATGTATATTCTTGTTGTTACTTTTTTCGTAATTCACAATATAATAATAATATAGTAACATAATGTCTACTGTATTCCTTACAAAAATCCAATTTAATACTGAAAATTACTTATTTTGAGTATTAAATGCGCTGAAGAATAATATTTCTAATATTCAAAATAAATCATTAATCACTACTTTTCAATATTAAACTTCTATGAAAGGATGTTTTTAATATACGACAAAAAAGATTATTTGCAATTACTTGCAATTTACAAAAGCACGAAGCATTTTCGGAGTACTGTATATATGAATTTATGCTACAAATTACATCATATATTTAACTGCGTGATAAAGATGAATCAAAGGTTACGTGGATAAATGGGAAACACGGATGTTTTCATAAAAATAGTACGATTATAAAATACAGTAATTTATTAATAATTAATCATTTATCGTCAGCGTACTCATCATGATAAATTAAAACTTGCAGATATTTCATCTTCACTATACACTACACGTTTTGTCACATTTGTCGCGCAGCTTACAATATACAGGTCTCGGTTTTATCTATTTTGCTATTTATATATATATATATATATATATA